GTTGTCCTCCAGAGTCTGTGCAAAATCCAGAAGGCTAGCCAATCAATGCACAAATTCTAATGTTTGTTTCTACAAATGCATCTATTTGGTCCTCGTTCCAAAATGTCATTGCTGGGGCGGAGCAATTATATCCTCTGACTGCAGAGAATGGCTGTAGATCTACTAAAAACGCCACTTCTCCATCACCAATGCCTTTGAAGAACCCGAGGCTGCCATCCTCACTTCCAATCAACCTGTCTGGGAACTTGTGACGACACAGTGGTGCAAACGCGAGCCCACAATCAATCAACATGGGGGACAAATCCTAGGAAAGGCAGAAAGGCCTGGCTGAGTTCTTCCAAGCAGCACATCCAAATGTCCGTCTGCATCCCAATCAAAAACCGAGAACTGCGGCCGCATACCGGAAGAATTCCCCAAGTCAAAGGACTTTTCTGAGTCCGCCCATGCAACCCTCAGAGTCATGCCATTGCCCTGCCTCCAAATGTACTGAGACCCCTGCACCACCACTCCATTGTTGGATAGTGTTACCTTGAATTGTTTAGTCCATTAGTTGAAGGGTGTCTGCACAAACTGCACTTTGCTCTCCATATTATATTCAGTTTGTTTCCCTACAGTGTAAGGACAAGTAGAATTATTCCACACAATTTTACGAAGGAGACTCAGTGGCCCTGAGCAAATTCACATCCAGCACAGCAAACGTCAACAGCTGCAAGCAACAATCATCATCAAACAGCCACATTAGGAGAAACAACACAAAACATAGCAAACCCATCCCTGCTGAAATCGTGTAGCTGAAATATGCACTCAACCATCCAATGAGACGACAACGACGACAACTGTCAATCATGGTTGCCCGGTCATCTGCAACGTCCCATCAAAGGTCATGTTTTCAAGAAAAAGTGTGGATACTATCACTAGTCACTATCCAGACATGGAAACAAAAGTGTACCGCCTTGAAATTGGCCCATCCACTTAGAGAACAGGTCCAGCAGCAGCTATCCATCCCAGAACTCTGCAGTCAGTTGCCCTTGCTTCCCACACGGAAACCAACAAATATACATCTGGAGATACATGCCACAGCACCGCGCACTAGACGGCCTCACCGGCACAACCTTCCGGAAAAGTATTAACAAAATCTCGGCAATTGGAAGTTGATCACAACAAGAATCTCACCACACATTGCACTTGTCAAAATCAAAAGGCAAAGGGCAAAAGCAAATTGGTGCCATGTAGTCAGCAGTGTCAGCAGTGAGCTATTGCAAGCAGACTCCCAGAACAAACCGACGCAGGCAACATATCTAGGTCGCAAAATCTATTTGGCAGCTAGCCGTCAAATGCTAAACCAGGTCAGACTACAACGGGCTATCAACCACAGCCCGAAGTCAATCGACCCGCAGTTCAGGCCCGGCCTGGGGCCCGACTCCGAACATGTGCTTGCCAGCCAGAACGAACCGGAAGAGCGCCGGAACAGCAACCATCCAACAACAGAAACCTGCACGCCTGAAAGAGGCTAGCAGCGCAACAACCCCCAAACGCAACCAGCAGCTGAACCCGCATGTCTGCAAAAGGCAGCCAAGCCAGCCTGGCGACCGGAAGTATGATCCAGAAAGCGTGAAGAGCAGTGGCGCCACACCAACTGATACAACACACAATGTAGAATCGGACTGCGATCCGGCGAGGCCATGTTAGCATGTTATATATTCATGTGGGTTTAGAATGTTCAAAGGGATTTGACATGATGTGACCCCTGTCCTACACCGTGAGGCACAGATTTGTTGGTTCCTTTTTCAATTTGGAGTGACCCTGCACCCCAAAAAACCTATCTCGTGCGCATATCAGCAAGGATGCGATCTCCAACGTGCCATCGCCATCCCAATCCGCCACGTCCAGGCTGACTGGGGTCTTCGGAGAAGGTGGTTTTGGACCAAAACGTTCCCAGAGTCGTCCTGTGCAGCGGCCCTGCTGGCGTTGACAATAGGAGGACGGTGGGCCGTTCATGAGTTCGGCTTCATCACGCAGCATATCAGATCGAGTTGCGTAGCAAGAGGAAGTACCACTCACACTCTTCGCGCCAAATTGCAACTTTGCACTTGCGTCTGCCAGGTGGCAGCTCGTGTCTGCGAACCAAGAAAAGCCAGCGCAACGCGGAGTCCTGAAACGTGCACGACTCCACATGGAAACCATGCACAAACACTGAGCGAAAGGACAGCGGCTCGGCCGTCAAATCAGAATTCCAACCCTGGTCCTTTCACACAATTCATAGCATTCTGCTGCTGACTGGACCTTGCTTGGTTTGATGCCCAACATGTCAACTGGCTTGTAATTGGAGTTCCTCTTGCACGCTGTCATCTTCCTGCAACAAGCAGAAACAGGATCACCGTGAACCAGAGTTGCATTTGGCACGCGTTCGAAGCCGGCTGGGCAGTGAACGCTCCTGCACATGCGCTGACAGCCTCGCATCTCAAAGCTGGGTACCATGTGCTACATTGTGCTACCATATATTTTGTTTTTCTCCAGAAACCTCAATCCAATTCTTTTCCCAGACTATCGTTTTTTCATACTTTTCCATCTTCAGTCTTCAGCGAACGCCAAAAGGTTGGATGCCTTCGGTTTCTTGACCGTAGCAAGTAACCCACCAAAAGAACTATAAACAACACAAACAACAATCAAAGGAAGTTTGTTAATATGTGGGACTTAGTCACAGGCATGCTGCTGTTGTGCTCCGAGGGCGGGCATCGTGGTGGCTTCAAGCACCACCTGGTCGACACAGCCAACCTTTTCGCAGAACTCCATCCACCAATCGGGATCATGTTGATGCACAGGCACTGTTACAATCTCTGCTGCATTTGTTCGCTTCGTGCTCCCTGGTTCACAGGTGACAAATTCGCAGGAAGTTTGCAAGATGCAATATTTCGAGAAGCTGCTTTCTCTGAGGGTTGCATTGTACCCGCGAACTTCCCAACCAGGCTCAAGCATGGCTTCATAAATGCAGCTGTTGTTGGAACTTGCCTGAGTGTGGTGAGCCGATGTACGGTGATGTATATAAGCAGCAAAAAATGTGATCCACGGCCAAAATATGTTACTTAATAAAAACACATCAGGTTTTGCTTTGGTCAGTGTCAGCCTTTTCATCGTTTTCAGGTTGTCTATATATTATACACTGGGGTGCCAAAAGTTGCGCTTCTTGACTTCTAAAACTCACAAACCCTTTCCCCTTAGAATCCTACGTGCAACATGTCGACACCTCAGTTGCGGTCAGATTTCCACACCTGAAAGCCTTATAACTATTATAAATTAAACGGGTGTGGAAATCTGACCGTGCTGTACCTGCCACGCAAAATGGACGTGTTAATCCGATCCGCTGTAGACCACAAGTGTCATGTTGGAACAGAGTAAGAAGCGTAAACTTTAGGGTTCTTGAAGTATATATATATGTATGTGTTCTTGTTTTGTTACTATCTTTTCTTGGTGTGTATTATCGTTGTTCCGCTATAACCTGCACTTTGAGGTCCCACGTCTGTCTTTACTTGTGTATTCCGTAAATTTTGACCGTACCCCATGCCAGAAGAAACATGATGGCACGACGGGCCGAGTCGCAGGCACGATGATGCAAGGCTCCTTTATGTCACATTCACCCTGATGCAAAACCCAATGGGGAGCTCCATTGGCCAACAAAAAAAGCAGCACAAGGCGCTGCATGTGCGAGGTTCCTGACCCGTCAAGCCCTCGTTTCCAGTGCAAGAGCTAGGTACTACTAGTAATGCAAGGAGCTACTAGTAGCTTCTTGTTACTAGTAGTAAGGCCAGGAGCCCCTAGTAGCGTCCTTGCTCCTAGTAGTAAGGCCAGGAGCTACTAGTAGCGAACATTGTTGCTAGTAATAGGAAAAGCCGAGCCGTACCCTTTGACATCAGTTCTTTGGAACGATCAAAGCACTGACCTCAAAGAACATCGAAGACCACACATGTGTTGAGCGCTTGCGTTTTCGAGCCAAAAACTGCATCAATGGGGATTGGATACATGTCAATGTCACTCTCTGCTCAATGTTACCATCGAGTGCATGGCGGTCCAGGATGTTGTCTGGGAAGCGAATGAACTTCACCTGATGTCATCTCTCAGCGCATCATTCCATCCGAAGATCTTGGTAAAAATGTAAAAGCAACTGTACTTAGCTGGTCTGCACCCCATGGTGTTGCTTTTACCGAAGCTTTGAAACGTGTCTGTGTGTGTGTGTGTGTCATCTCAGATGAGGCAAGCACAAACTGTCCTCGAATTGTGCACTCCTTCATGTGCTCAAACTTCTGCTCAAGACGCGGCGTGAAAACTGCGTCCTGATTGAACCACTCCAAGTAAAAATACCAAGTATACCAGGCACAGAAAGAACGAGAGCCACTCTTCACAATGCATCATCTTTGCCTCCAAACGAATGTTCATAAAGTTGTCCACAGCGACCTCACATTTGGCAGCCATTCAGTCTAGGAGCAAGGACGCTACTCCTGGCATCACTACTAGGAGCAAGGACGCTACTAGAATGCCGTTCAGTCTAGAATGCACAGCCACGCACTCCGTGCGCAAGCCAGTCTCTGGGGATGACGCCAGAGTTCCACTGTAAGAGTCGCCATTCTTCAGCTCCACCAACGCCGGCCTTGCGTTCTTTGCAGTTGATTCATGATTCATACACATCAGCATTGCAAAAACAACACACAGCAACGGTCAAAGCAAGCTATACAGCCAAAATGTTGATCATGACTGTGCAAAGTTCTGGGGAAATCACCCATGGCTTGCTGATCTCAACACTGCTTGCGGCAAAACCATGGGAATCGCTTTCAAAAAGGCGCACAGCGGAAGCTCATGGATGAAGCCTAAGTCATTCAATTGAATACCTTCGGACTAGACACGAGTTGCCTGTGCATGTCTCATGATCCAAGTCATTCCTGGCAATAGAAATTCTGCTGCTCATTGTCCCTTTATTGGCATACTTTATTGCTTTATGGCTCTTCCCTTGCTCTTGTGTATGCCGGCAAGTGCCTTGAAGAAAAGCGGGAAGAACTAGCAATGATCGGCAATCTTGCTTACCCAGCAGTTTGACAAACTAGCTCCTTTTGTGCTCGAGGTCGAGATGAAAATTGGAAGGCGAGGGCTTTGCGAAAAGGCATTGCCCATCAGCCAATTGCAGTGAATCAGAATACAAACCCACAACAAACAGTCCAGGACAAAAACCCTTGAAAAGCACCGACTTTACCGATAGTTTCTTACAGAAAGTTGTGAGCCTTGACTCAACTTGACTGATACTATACTTGCTGCAACAGGCTGGGTCTGATCCTTCGTTGTGAGCGCTAGCTCCTTGCCACCATTCAACATATTGGAAGTGAGACTGCCCGCACCTCTCGAGCCAACTGGTTACCTGCAGGTGTTGCATGAGTAAGCCAGGCTAAGGAGGGGAGAAGAGATACAAGTAAGGCTACGGAGCTATTGCAAGGATTTGCAAAGCATATTCCTTTTTCAAAGAGTGTTGTTGTTCCCTGAAGCGAGCCCGGTGGCAGCAGTTAAGACAAGTAAGATGAGATTGGGTCAAATTAGGTTTAAAAAGGCTGACTCACGAATTGAAGATAATTGAAGTGAGGCAAGGGTAGCCAAGAGGGAGATCAGGATGAGGGATGATGAGAGTAAGGATACACTTGCTTCCCAGTTGCCAACCATCATCTTCATCCACCTTAGCCTTCTTAAGCTTCGTCACCTTGAAGAACTGGAGATATGCACCATTCATCTGGTCTCGATGGCCGACACCAGCCTCTTCTTCACTGATCCCTTGAGCCCTCCTCATGCTTTCCAGCAATTCCTGCACGTTGCACATCGTGGCACACACACACACACAAAAACATGTGCAGGCAAGGCTCACACATTGTTAAATCATCGGCCGTGCCTTCTGCTTGGAGGATTCATCATCTTCAACATCTTCCATGCCTCCCATTACTTCTGTTGCATGGCTTGTCATTGCTGTGTGTGCGTGTCACTGCACGTGATCCTTTGTTTTGTAGAGCCTGCATCTGCACTCAGCTGGGCTTTGAGGCTTTCGCTTACGTTCCCACGCTCCTCAGATTGACCAATCAATGTTGTTATGTGGCACTCAATCCACGCTGTGGCGAGATCTCCTGGGAAGCTGTTCCAGCAACCTCAACTGCCCTTGCAAATGCGATTCCCACTCCCAGGCCTGCCATCTCAGGCTTTAAACGTTTTGCAAACTGATCATTCCACATCTTTCGTGCAAAACTGGCCTGCTATTGAAGCTAGGATGGTTGGGATGATCACTGGATTGGCAACATCGCCGTCATTCCCTGCAGGTGTAGCGCTCTTCAACCGACATCGGCAAGCGCAACCGACATCGGTCGCTGGGACAGAGACTCGCCACACGTGGTGCCCGGTGGTGGTTGACCGAGCCTGGCTATCTGATCGAAAAATAGCGAGAAAAATTGCAGTTCCAACACCCCGCCTTCCACCCATCTGCCTGCTGACGAGGAGTAGCTGGGCGACACGATCTTCTCTGGTCTAAGGGAAGCTGAGGCATTCTTCAGGGCTTTGCAACTTCAACCACTCAACCACTTACTGTATAAAAAGCAAATGCTGTATTTCATTGGGATCCGGTCAGGACTGTTTCAATGAGGCCACCGCGTACCAAGAAAGCCGAGGCCAGCATACGTCAGAACCTGGTCAATTGAGGTGTGGCAGAGGAGAGGTTTCTCATATTTCCACACATATCGATCAAGGTACCACCAGGAGAGCACTAAGCCTTCGTGACTTGCCTGACAGCCACTCGATGAAGACTCTTGTATACTGTGTTCATTATTTTCGACCTCGTAACCATTCTAAAGAAAAACAATACGACATCATGTCAGCCTTGCCAGGCAAAGGCTTTCATCTCAGCTTTTCCTGGACAGCAAAAACTTCAGGAATGGAATGCCTAGGATTGCCCATCTTTTAACATTAACATGCTGGTCTTTTAGCAAGGAATCCCAGTGATGCTGACGCCTCCCAGTCTTCTGTGGTCGGCGATAAGCTACGTAAGCCTTGAGCCGAATGAAGGCAGTGTGCACTGCATGCCTTGAGAGCAGAAACAACAGCGAGGAGTCTCTTTGCAAAGTCCGGGACCAGGAATGTGAGGTTTTCTTCAACTTGTCAGTATATACATTCAAGATTCAAGAGACATGCAAATGCTAATATGCCCATTGCCCGAATCGATTGAGCACCCAGCGGCCCAGCGATTGAACTCCTTTAGGGTTCTTGGGCTATAGCCTATAGGCTATAAGGTGTTCGTTGACAAGCTGTGAGTTGTGTTTCAGGAGGTAAATGTTCTTGTTTATACTAGTAACAGGTGCCACGCTAGTAGTAACAGGTGCCTTACTAGTAGTAACAAAAAGCTATTAGGAACAAGTGCCACGCTACTAGTAACAGGTGCCTTACTGGTAGTAACAAGAAGCTATTAGAATTAAAATATGCAGTGGGTGGGAGACCCGTGCAGTTCTTGATTTCTGCGTCTGCAGGAAAGTCAAGAGGCCTGCGGCCTTCATTGTCAAAAGGGCACACCGACCCAGAGGTGCTGGCGGTGTTCATTAGGCTTAAGGGGCATGGAATTGATTGATATTGATTGGGTGACATGATGCAAAAAGAGAAGAGAAGATAAGATAAGAGTAGAGAAGAGAAGAGAAGCGAAGCGAAGGGAAGGGAAGAGGAGAGGAGAGGAGAGGAGAGGAAACGAGAATGAGAACGAGATGAGACAAGAAGAACGTTTGATGAGAATGATTAAACATGAGGTGACACGAGGTTTGGTCAGTCAGGGAAATGGTGAAGGCACAGCTGCTCTCTTGTCTTGCTTTTCATTTTGCCTCTTGCTGGCAGCATAGCTGCGAGCGCGCGCCCACCCACAAAACACCTGTCACAGCCCCGCCAATGCGTTTTGAAACAACGAGTTGCAAACCCACAAAGCACTGCGTTCCCACAAAACGAATCAAACATGCAACGCGCAAGCCTGCAGGCTGCAGGACATGTCGGATTTATCCTGATGTCTTTGTGTAGCAAAGCAGTCTGCACCTGGCCATCACAGAATAATTTCCTTCTCCAGCCCTGCAATCATCAATCGCGGTGCAAGGTTTGACAATCCAGACAGCGACCCTCTCAGGATGCTTTTGTCCAAGCTCCTGCCTGTCCTCTCGCTCCTGTGCTACTGATTCCCAGAAGGAGCGCCCCACATTTGTGTTGAGGCCAAGACAAATCATGAGAATCTTCAAAATCTAAGTCTTTACGTGGCCGTTGTGCACATTCCACGCACAGTCCTGCATTCCTATCCGCCCTTCAGGTCGGACAAGTATGCATGATGCAACAAATTCAAGGCTAGCGGCAACATGGCCGGCCAACCACAGTCAACAGTTCGTCTGTCTTGGGGACTGAGCCATCGTTGGCTCTTACAGCTCAGCTGATATCGTGTCGTGCTTCTTTGCCCGATCATCTCCATGTGCGATTGCCAAGGCTGCTGCATGGTACTTGTCGTTTTGATTCAAGGCGTAGGAGGAAAGGATGTTTGATCGTCGACACTCCTGGATGCAAGCCTCCCATGTCGCAGAGTCCCCCTCAGCCGCCTTCTTCTTGCAACAACAATCCTTGAGAGCAAAAAGGATTGGTGACAAGAAGGGCTTGAGAAGGAGCTTGTAGAGCCAGAGGAGAATGTAGTACACACAGAAGACCAGGAAGATGCAAAAAATGAGCCAGCACCCCTCTCGAGCCATGTCCATCATTCGAGCTTCATAGTATTTCCACTGCAAGTCCTTCTTCAGCTTCGCTGGTGCAGAGAGGTACTCAGAGGTGACAGAGTAGTATTCATCCTTCGAAAAGAAACAAAGGTGATCACATGTTATTATATAGTTATATATCATCACTCCATGAAATCCGATACTGTGTCATTACATTTAAAAGGCTCGGCTGAACAAAGCAATGACATTAGAACCTATGAGCCATGTCCCTACACAGTTCCTAGCCTCAGACAAGAACAGCATCTCTGCCACCACGAGTAAACTGCTCCAGTTGCTAGGTACCACGGCTTGGTTTCCATAGGTCCACCCGGCAATCACCGTGTGAAGGAAGGCAGCAAGAGGCAAGAAATTGCAACAGACATTGAGAATGCTCTGGTTGTATGCAGGTGGTTTCGATGAGCCTCTGAGCAAACACCATTTGTCTAACCAATAGGCGACGATGCTGTACACAAAGCCCACGAAGTACAACAAAGGCATTCCACCAGAATAGGTGCAAATGACGAAGATCACCGTCAGGGTTTGAGCCATCCTCAAGGACAAGTTCCAGGGCGGAAGCACGTACATTTCGTTCAGGCGTGCCTGAACGACTTCTCCACGGGCGACCAAGCAGGACAAGCATGGCTTAACGATGAAGGCCATGATCAGAGGTGGCACTGTTGTGCTGAAGACCTGCAAAGATGTTCAGCTTCATATATTTCATCATATTTCACACATACCATCATCTGTGTAATTGATGCATTGATGTTTCTTTATATGAAAGCCGCATGCAGTAGGAGTCACATCATCGAGGCACACACAACTCATTCTATTTGGCATGTGTCTTAAATCTAGTCGTGAGGCAAGTCGTGGCAAGTGGAGCAACCTAATAGAGCAATGGCCTCCACCCAACTAGCAATGGCCTCGAACCCAATAGAGATGGCCTCCAACCTAGTAGTGATGGCCTCCACCCTACTAGCGATGTTCCACATGTTTATGTTCTTCATTTGACACTGGCCTGCATGAAGATTGTGATGCAAATGCCGGTTCCCACAGAGACATACCACGTCACGTTCAACTCATCAAATTGGCCGGAGCCAACTTGAAGCACACGAAGAAACTGAAGGACTGGAGGCAATTCCAGAGACGCATTCACCAGAAGAACCAGAAGTGCTGTGTTCACCATCTGCGCCAGGAACAGCTTCCAGAACTGACTTAGTGTGACTTCGGTCACCGTGCAGTGCCTTTCAAAGGCGACCAGGTACTCGTAGATCAACAAAAGCACTTGATTGATCACCAGCACGGCTAGGGCAGCACCAACGACCTTCCCGACCACTGCAGCATTGTTGATGATCCAGGCCTCACAAATCTGCTTTTCTTGGGTGTCGTAGGGCGGAAATGCAAAGCCTGGACCCTGGCTGAGGGCTTGTTGCTGGCAAAAGCAATTGATGATTGGATTCAGGACTCTCTCCTCAGAACCTGCAGCAATACTCTCCCATCTGGCCTTAGCCACATCTGCAGTGATTTCATTTGAGCATGACATGTCCGCTGCCACCTTGTTGTCCGTCGAGGTCCAGGCTGTGTTCTGAGTGTCTGGGGACAACGTATTGAGGTACATCGGTGCACAATTTTCTTCAACTTTCCAACATGATCGGTTTTCAGGTGCTGGAGGTGCTGTAGGGCATCCAAACAGTTGCACTTCATCGGGTTTGATACTGGGAGGAAACGTCGCGTGCCAGCATTGCACTTGTTGTTTGCTCTCAAACTCAAAGCCGATCCAATCTGTATGTGCAGATGCGTTGGCTTCACTCCCACCACATGTGCTAGCATACTGAGACCTCAAGGGTGCCGAAGAACAAGGTGATGTCCAATTGTTTGCACAACCACTTCCCCAGTCGTAGTTGGTGTAATCGTTGAACTGGTCAAAGAGCTTCACCGTCTGCCAGCTGTTGGATGTATCCCCATTGCTGGAGCACAAACGGTCCGAAAACATCTCCACGTCACAGAATCCCAGGCAGGTGTTGGTGTCAGGGGTGGACTTCACCACCCAAACCAAGTGCTCATTGACGCTGGCCAGAGTGGATTTGGATAAGGACTGGAAGAAAACCAAGGCTGCAGAGCAAAGGATGAGGAAAACGAAGGTGAGCAAGATCACGAAACACATGCGGCACCAGCGTTTCCAGGAAGCGAAATCCAAGTTCTCCCAGTAGAGGTCACTCGGCTCACAAGCTTCATGGAGCAACAAAGCGGAACCTTCAAAACGCAGGTCTTTGTTCTGGCAGCATCGGAACAAGAAGAATCTGCTGAAGCGATAGTGGTGTAAAACCTGTTCCTTGTAGCTCGCTTTGGAGAATGTCACAAAGGCACGAACAACGCCACGTTGTTCATCACTCATTGCTGCTTGGGTGGCGATGCTGCGTTCAAGCCGCTTCATCTGCATATACTTCTTGATGGACTTCTTCTCCAATTTTGCGTGTGCTTTCTTGCTTGCATCATCTTCCTTCCCTTCCAACTCCTTCAGAGCAAACGCTGCAAACATCAACAAACAAGCAACGCAAACTCCTGGAAAAAGAATCGAAGCACTGGAAGAATATGAGATGCTCAGAGTAAAGGGGTGGAAACAAAATGCAACGAAGTTCCCCTGCTGAAACTCAGAACTCAGGCTCTCATAAAAGGAAACACACTTAGACAATGGGTTTGCAGTTACCTCAATTCCCCGAGGAAAGGAATGGCTCAACGGCAAGGTGATGAGGTCAGCTCATTTGG